GTTGGGTGTTTTTTTTTTTTTTTTTTTTTTCTTTCTCCTGTTTATGAAAATCCTGCTTTCAGCAAATTAGCCAAGTCTTAGAAACTTGTCACAAGTCAATGCTGCAACACATTCTTAAAGCTATTGCAAGAAACACAAAGAAATAATCTAAATACCTGTTTATAGAATAGTTCTGAGAAAGCTTCTTGGATCTTTTCAAGGATTCAGGCTTCTAAAGAACGTGGGAGAAACCCTGACCAAGCTGAGTTCTTGGATGGTTTTGCTGTAGTCCTTGGCAGTCAGGCTGTACTTACTACAAGCAGAAGTTTTGTAGTCTTTGTTTGGACCTCCTCCTGTTGTGTAGAAGAAAGAAATACCTGCTTAGTTTACTGGCAATGCCAAACTTTTTTGTCCTGTAAGCACAGGACATAACTGAAGAAGGAGCCTCGTTTGATTGTGCTTCAGGTGTCTTCAGTACAATGCTGTCTGTTAGGGAAATCTGACTCCAAAATCTAAATTAGTGCTATACATAGTAATGATGTATTAATCAGACAGGGCATTTCTGAGTTTGTGATTTCATGGTGTTGTTGGGAAGGTGGTAGTTGGAAGAATATTTCAATGGATTTGTAAACCAAACAAGATTTGTAAATAGAGTCATGGGTATTTTGGGAAACTATCCCATTGTGACAAGTGGTGTCTGAGATGCTCACTGTAGTAATCATAGCCATGCTTCGAGCTTGTAACTCCCAGTTTAGAGCTGAGAATTACAAGCAGGCACACAGCTTCTGGTAAGTGAATAGGTGTGTGTGTACTGCTGAAAGTTTGGGCTTTTAAAAAGTTGAAAGGGTGATATCAGTGTTGAATTATAGAAACAGCTGTTAGGAAATTAATGGGTTTATTATCTCATGTTTACTCCAGCTTTCTTAATATATTTTTTCAGCAATATTTTAAAGGATGAATTTTTAGAAATGTTTGTTCATTTTTATCATCTCTTGTTTTACATTCCTGGTTTCAGAATCCAAAATACCACATTTCTTGAACTGTCTGTGGCTGAATTTGCGAGTGCTCAGCCAGAGAACTTCGAAGCAGTTATCCCAATCTGTGGGCACTCACAATCCATAGATATTTAAACAATTCCATCATTACTCTCCTTTTCCATGAGATTCTCTATCTCTTCGGTGTGAACGATAGTAATGCGTGTCATGGCGTGTGGGTATGTGTTTAATTCCTTAGTGTTTGCTTTCTTTCTTTACTGTGAGATGATCAGACAGAAGTCGGATGCTGTTGCAAAGTGTAGGCTTTCTTTGGGGTGAAGAAGGCTGTAGGTTTTGGGTTGGTTTTTGTTAACCACAATTGAGTTCTGCATGAAAAATGTAAGATGGCAGAGTGTAATTTGCAGAAACACTTGTCCAAAAGATTAATAAAAAGCATAATGCAGGATATATGTGATGCACCAAAAGAGCTACAACATCAATGTGATATGCTTTTGGTTTTGTTTTTCTGTTGGAAAAGAATAAAGAATTATCCTACTTAACTTTTTTTTTGTAGCTTCTGTTCAGTGGAACTACAACTTTGTGTTTGGTAGGAGCTGCTCTAATGTATAGCATTTATATTTCACTGTTAGTGATA